TTCATTTCTTGACAAAAGCATCAAAATATTGTTATGCTGCTGTTGCATGCCTTTGACAACGAGCCGACACACAGAGAGACAGACAGACATACATTTCGTGCACTCTCAAAAAATATTTGCCACAGTTTGTTGTTTTCCGTTTCCAGCTTGTGTGTGTGATGATATATTGAAAAAATTTTGGTAAGAATGTTGCATGTTGCACGTTGCAATAAATTTCTCCGATTTGCATTTTAAGAGGATATTGATTTCTAATATCGTTAGTGCCAGTAGCTGTAATTTGCTTAATGCTTCAATTATATAGTTTCTACTGAAGGTATTTTGTAATTTTTTGTATTGTGCACTACATTTTAGATTTGAGGTTATGTCACAAAAGCTTTCATTTGAACTGCGAAATGAATTGCTTTCACTGTTTTAATCTTTTTCTGAAATCTCGTTAAGTCCGTTAAGTCCGTTGGCAGGTGAGCAACAATAATCCTCGGCTTTATTACCGTACGCTTGAAAGGACCTAAGGAGTGTTCAATCTCAATTTCGATTTCATCGAGCTTTTACTTCTTAAGTCTCATATAATTATCGGACTATAGAAAAACCAGAAGACTGCTTTAACCTGCCAGCGGAGCAATATGGTATCACTATGTTTATGTGCTGTAGGTTCGGCGAATATCCAAATTGAACTAATATTATTTTTTGTTTTATTCTTGCCATCAGGATCTGTTGCGATTGAGTAGGTTTAAAAACTTCATACAACGTTACAATCTCAGCTTGATTATATATTCTTCAACAATATTATATAAAAACAATATTGCTGAGAGGAGAATCTCATCCAATGCGGCAGTTCTAGGTAAATCATCACATCTTCCTATCAATATTTCTATTTATTCTGCTGCACTTTTAATCCTCGGCTCTGTTAAATCTTTTTAAACATACAGTAAAGTCGATTTCCACAACCTAATCACTTGGCGCTAAATCCAGACTAGAGACCTGGAGTTGTCCTGATCTAATACAGTTTCTCTCCTATTGACCAAAGCTGACCGTTGCTGGGCCAATTCTCTCACCAGATGGTTCGATTCTTGACAGTACAGGTCTGAGTTAAGAAGTCGTACGGGACGCTGTCATAGCAGATTATTCCCTGTCAATCCCACCAAACACATAGCAACATCATCCTAATGTTGTCGTAAGTGACCCACTTTTCAGCCAGTAACCATCCGCTTCAGAAATGGATCGACTTTGATACGATTCAGCAGTTTTTCGCGTTAACTCATGTGACACCAATATATCGAGCTTCTTTTAGTATCTAGCAATTTTTAGCCCTTGTTCAATCTAAATTGTGCTTAGATGATTGCATTCGACGATCTCCATTGTTTCATCGATATTTTTGACAATTGTAATAAGCTCTCACTCAATCTTAGCTTTAGGCTACCAGACCACAATGGTAGTTTCAAGGCAGAAGTGGCTGCGATTGAGTAGATGTACTGTTACGAAGTGCAACCTCTTTCAGGGAGGTGAACATGCACTCCGATGGAGTGGTGATGGAGTGTCTGTCCTCACTAGAAATAGTATGAAGCTACTTTATCACCAGATATGTTGATCGGCTCGGTCATAGCGGAATCGCTCGTAATTGCAAATCCAATGAGCTAGCCAGTGGGAGCACACTTGTCCCGCTCACATCGGAATGGGAACGAGTTGGATTTCCATTGACATCTTGCATTTTAGCATTGGACCAATGGACAGCTCTTGTGCGACTGCAAGATCCATTTTCATAGAGTAAAACGCGAGATATCTACTGAGCTTCCTGCCCTTACATAAGTTCATCTTGCCGCAATCGTAAAGTGTCTTACTGAAAATTGACCAATAGGCATTCATGCGGTAACGTTAAAAATGTTGTCGGCCGCAAGTATTCAAAGTTGTATGGAAAAGGGTGAGGAGGAAACATCCAGACATTTTCTCCTCCATTGTAAACTCTTTGCAAGACTGAGGTTGAAACATATCGGTCTATTGTGCTCTCCCCTAAGTCACAGCGACTCATCTAGCCCCAGCATATTGATGAAATCCAATATACTGCTATTCCTTCGATTAAAGAACTATCTTAAATTAAATACTCTATCATATCGAATAAAAACACAAATTACGGTATTTACCTATTTTCAGTATCAGTACAAAACCTTCAATAAATATGTTAGGAAAAAATATTACAATCTTCGGCAACACTAAACTTTTATCCTGCGAAGGTAACAAAGCTACGTTACTAATTGTATTCAAAAATTTTGCTTACGAGTATATCAATAGAGCTCAAGCCTTTACTTTATTAGGTTCGACGTTTTAGATTTACCGAGCTTAACGCTAAAGTCTAATAAATTTTATGAATAAATAGTTTCAACCTCACTAAAACGGAATATCTGAAGTAAAAGCTTCTTCAATTTTCGATTTATGGCAGATTCCATTATTTTGCACACGATCAGATTTTCAAATCTATAGCTTTTATATTTAAAATTAAAAGAATATTTCCAGCGTTTAGCAAGATCAACACATTTCCGCTTGTCGTTCCATTTATGTTTTTCGTTATAAGTACATGGGCTTTCGATTAAAATTAAGCACAATTAATTAAGCTTTAACCGAAAGCTCTAGCTGAAAGGGTGAGTAACGTGAATGAACCATGCATAACAAAAAAAATGCTGATAAAAAGAAAACATGAATGCACAGAAATTCGCAAAAATTATAAAAAAAAGCTTCACCATTTTTCATAAGCAATGATTGTCCAATATTCTCTATGTGTTTTTATTCAGTCATTGTTTTGCCTTCAAAGCAACGAATTATTTGAAAAAGCTTTGGAATCTTTCAGTGTTTGTGTTTTTTTTTTGCATTCGAAGCAACGAAATACTGTAAAAAACTTTGTAATCTTTCATTTTTTTGGAATAAGCTGTTTGGAATTTTCAAAGCGAAATTGAAAAAAAGGAACAAAAAAGTTTCACGCTCAGACCAGCTTACAATGTAATATCTCTAACTATCTTTAATCAAAAGCTATTCGCACTTTTACGTTTTTTCGTGTTGTTTTTTTTTTTTTTGTTTGAGAAGAGCTTTTTATGAATTTTAAACGTTTCCAATCTCTCAAAACGCATAGCACTCGCTGGGTATGTTTACATATAAATATTTGGTACATCTATATGATTTCCCCACCTTTTGCCCCGGCTCGACTTCACTGTATGCTTAAAAGCTCCAGAATTTTCAAACGGAATTTATTCGACGTAGCAACAACCACAACAAATGCAACAATTCGAAATAAGAGTAATGCAATACTAAAGGATTTGGCATTGTTTCCTCCATCTTTGTGCATACTTGAGTGCCTCGCAGACCAACTAAGTGCCTGGTTGACTGACTAACGGCATGACGAACTTATCAAGCATGCCAGCATATATTATATATTTTTGCACTCAATGCATAACTTTTCTACATATATATGTATTTATGAATTTCTAGTATGCTGCGTATTTGCCTTTTCAAAACATTTTTCAATTTCACACAACAATGCCAATAAAAGAAATAAAAGCCAAGCGCTTAAACTAGCAGCGAACGGGAGGCAGTGAGAGAGCGAAACGAGCGAAAGTGTGTAAAGTCATCCAATAAAGGAAAATGTTATGAATGCAATGCAATTGCATTTGCAAAACTCATTGTTAGTGACACGTAAAAATTCCATCGACATTTTCAATTTCACTGTCAATCGCCTCGGCATCAGCATCATCATCATCACCAACATCAACGGCTTCAACGCCAAATCATGCAAACAGCATATTATTTCTGTGAGCCATTGTGAGAAATGTAAAGTGCAGTAGAATCAAACGATTGAAGCAATATTTCTACTGAAATGCATTTTGTATTATATAATAGTTGTTATTCATATATAAATATATAGGATATTTTTCGAATTTTACAAAATTACACAGGCAAAGGTTTGACGTGTGCTTGATGTGTCATTGAGGTGAGGTGTTAAATGTCGTCAAAAAATTCGAATATTTTCAATGAAGCATTTATACTGATAATCGATGCTAATACTGAATGGAATTTATTCGAAGTCAAATGATCAAAAAGAAAACGTATTCGAGTGGAAACCAATAGCAACGAGAAAAAACGTTAACTTCGGTTAAACCGATGCTATAATACCTTCACAAGTACAAATACTTCCATACAAGAACTTGATTCCACGACCACGCCAAATTCCGTGAAGATATCTCATCAAATGAAAAAGTTTTGCAGACAAGCACATGAGTCCGATGGTTCAATTTATATGGCAGCTATATGCTATAGTGGTCCGATATCGGCGGTTACGACAAGTGAGCAGTTTCTTGAGAAGAAACGGACGTGCGCAAAATTTCGTACCGATATCTCACAATCTGAGCGACTAATGCGCGTATATACAGACAGACGGACATGGCTTAATCGACTCAATTAAAAATATTGAGCAAAATCTTCATTTTAATTGTCTTACAAGTTTTTAGAATCGGCTTTATTATATAATTTTTTATGCAAGTGACAACCCTTTTCAAAAAAAACTCCGATATAGAGTTTATTAATTTATTTTGCCGAGAGAGGATGGCAACCTATCCTTCATAAAATAATCAGAAAAAAATCCTTAATAATACTTGCGTTGGAGGTCCATACCATAATAATTCATTAATATTTTCAATTATATAAAAAAAAAAATTGAAAAAAGCGACCATATTGCATGTAAATAATCATTTTTTTTTAATAATGGACTGATAAACAGGTGGCAAGCTTTCTCAAAAATAACTCCATAGAAAATCGTATAGAATTTTAGGTGGTAACACTTCGTGAAAATAAATTAGCCAAGTAATTTTTCTTAAAATTGTTGAGTTTGATATTAATATTTTACCACCTCGTAAATTCTTATTAATTTCGTTGAATTATATATTTTGAAGAAGCGATAACCCTCAAAAATATTTACACTGTAAGCTTTTCTAAATTTCTTCTTTTTGATAAAAAATATTCCATTAAAGTCAATTTCACGACTTAATTTTTTTGCAAAATGGTGGCAATTCTTCCCAAAAATGTCGTCAACACATGTCATCATTTCTTAGTTTAGTTTTTAGCATTTTTTAATTTAACTTCCCCATATTAAATTTATTTTTAGTAAAAAAAAAAGTGGTGCTGTGTCTCTTACTTTTTAATAGCTCCCACTTATGCCTGAATTTCGTCTAATACAAATAGTCAGAGTATACAAGGAATGAGAGAACACAAGATATTCTGTTTGCAAAACTAAACGACCCATAAACGAAGAAATACAAACTTACAGTTAGTTTAAATATTAAAGTTGTTTTTATTATATATTTAAAAAATCCTTTTTTTAATTATTTATTTATTTTTAATATTTTTTTTATTGTTTTTTTATTTTTTAATTTTTTTTTAAATTTTTTATTTTATTTTTTTATTACAAATATTATTTATTCTCAAATTCATATGTATGTATTAAAATATTTTGGTAGTCAGTAGGTACGGGATGGCTCCAATGAAGATGTTAATATTTTGCTTAGTTATCCACACTCTCATCTCTGTTGCGCGAATCTTTATCCTTTCTCGGTGAAACTGAGCGAGAGCGAGAAATGGAACGATCGCGAGAACCATCATATGATGGTGAGCGTGAATCACGCCGTGAACGCGATGAACGGTGCGATCTGGAACGAGAACGGTCACGCTTACGAGAGTCACCGCGTGACTTGGATGGTGAGCGCGATCTGGAACGATCGCGAGAGCCAACACGAGATTTGGATGGTGAACGCGAATCATGTTTGGAACGTGATTTGCGTGGTGACTTGGAGCGTTCCCGTGAAGCATCTCGGCGTGAACGCTTAGGCGAGCGTGAGCGTGAACGCGATTTGTTTAGTTCGCGTGCTTTCTTTGTACGCGAACATGAACGAGAACGCGATTTCACTGGTGACTTCGATTTTGAACGTGATTTCGAACGACTGCGTGAACGTGACGAACGTGCAGATTTGGAGCGTGATCGGCGACGTGAAACAGAGCGTGAATGTGATCGCGACCTGCCACGGCCACCTCGACTGTTACGGCGATCTTCAATTAAACGTATACGTCGACCATTTAACTCGGTATCATCCAACTTCTCTATGGCACGCCGCATATCCGATGATGAAGCGAACTCTACAACACCTTCGTTGCGTCGCTGTTTGTGTGCGTCACAGTAGGTCACTTCGCCGGCTGTTCGCACATAATCCTTCAGATCTTGCCAGCTCACGCTACTCGATAAATTTTCCACAATCAAACGATATTCGGTACGTTGTGGTGGACCGAAACGTGTATTTCTACCTCTTTCGTTATAACGTCCACCACGACGGCCGCCATCATATCGATCACGATTACTACCGCGTGCTGTACTTTTTGCCAGTTCCACTGCTATTCTGCGTCCCATTAATTCTTTGCCGTTCATCTCGTAAACAGCATCATCAGCATCACGTGAATCTTCGAACTCTACAAAGCCATAACCATTCTTTAGCAAAATATCTCGTGTTCGTCCGAAACCTTTGAAGAATCGTTCTAAGTCTTTTTCACGTACTCCAAACGGCAATCCACCGACGTAAATTCTAGAGCTGCTCATATTTATGCTGAGTTCTTATATTTTTCTTATTTCGTGTATATTTATGTTAACGTCGCTTTGGTTGCTGACTGACTACAAACTTTCTCGGCATAGATCTCACTATTTAAGCAAAGTTTTGCAGTGCTGGGAACGTTAAGGATCATTTGACCTTCATATCTTTTTAATCAGGCAGGTACATAAATGCAACCGTGTCCTTTCGGGCGCGTTATTTCTTTTGTTTACAAATACCTGGTTGGCTACCTTAGCTACCTTAAAGACAATACAGGTAAAAAGTTCTTAATAGTGTTCAAGTTTCTTTGATGATTCTGTTAATTTCTAGATTGTGTAACTTTGCATAAAAATCGATTCCAAACTGAAATAACACTTTTTTCAACGAATTGAGTGCAGACCATCCCACAAATCATAATACTTTAAAACCCAGCAGAAGAGAAGCCGTAAAAACAATGAGCATTATATTATATAATATATTAATTTAAATTATCTATATATATATGGTTTATTGCGAAAATAATAGAAAAAACCAAAATATTTAAATTATACATTTCTTTAGAATATTTAATTCAAGATGCCAAACCCTCTGCATATAACCAAAAGAGACGGAATACAAAAGAGTACAAGCAAATATAAACAACTTTTGAAGGCAACCAGCTGTTGAGATAGCGGGCAGTTAAGAATCTGCCACTCTCTGGAATACTTTTCTCTTTATTTTAATTTTTAGTTCATATAACGTTTTTATATCGCTACAACAATAAAAATTACAATATTTCAATGTTTTTCTTTAGTAAAGTCAGTTTACATATTTTTTGTAAAACCATGACTCGGCGCTTGTCTAATTCTCGGAATTGAAAGTTATCGCGTCTCACATGTTGTAGGGCAACGCACTACATTGTTGCATGTTTTACCCACAGGTAACGGCAGTTTTTTTTTATTCTTTTCTGGCATTGTGATTTAATCACTTTCCTTTTGAGAAGAAACCCCTACCACAAGACAATGAAATATATTGAAAATTATAACGATTTAGTCTTAGAAACATACTAGAGTAAAAATAATGGTGATTATAATTGTGAGAATTAATATACAGGACCTCGTCCATGTGTTCAAAAGTTTGATTTTGTTTCTTGAACAACATAACAGGTCCTAACAAGAGCGTTTCACGACAAAAGAAATTATATGAGAAATTTTTGGTTGAAAGTATTTTTTAAAAACTCATCATAAAATTTTTTATAACTCATCATAAAATAAATCTGTCATTTAAAAATATCTTGTAAAACTTGTAGTATCACCTTTTGCTAAGGAACATCAAAACAGAAATCAAAGGTAAAATGGGAAATTCGGCCAAACGTCTAGGGATAGTGAAGAATTCCTAAGCTATCGCTTAAGTGGGTTATATAACATACACTTGAATGTAATAATAAATAAAATTAAAAAAACGCCTTTTTGTGATACTTTTTAAGAGAAGCATTTATTTAATAAATGTACATAGACAAAATTCCATTTACTTTAATAAATTCTAAAAATTTTGTATTCCGATTTCCAGGAGAACCTCCGAAAAAAGGTGTCTGGTGGTGAGCAAGATTTTAATGCTTAAAATTATCTGAAATCCAAAAACCAAAACAAAAAAGTTTTATTATTATACAATAGATAAAAGCAGATAATGGTCGATGAACTAGTCAAATTCTGATTTTTGAGAAAATAGCGGCTTTCCAAACAAAAATTTAGTTTCTTGCGAAAAATTTTTCAATGCGCGAAATCGAAATTATTGTTATAAACTTATTACTTCGATCATTAAAAAGGTCGTGTGAATATTTCAAGCAGCTTAATGCGGTCGTCTCGGAGTAATTTTGCTAACCGACTCTCAAAACATCGTTTGGAGAAAAACGCTGTTAAAGTTTGAGGATCTGATTACAAGTTTTAAAATTAAATTAGAAATAAAATACAAATACGCTCATATCTTCTATAAACGTATACATGCAAAAACCAATAAATTTTTTCTTCTAGGTATATGGTTACCAAAAAATTAAGTATATTTAACCCCTTAACATAGACACAGCTTTGATATATATTGATATGATTCAAAAACTCACACATGCTTTCGTTGAAAATCGACCGAAGCGTCACTACTAGCTCAATTTTAAACTCTGGCTTTACCTGTGCTTCTTTTATAAGCTGAAAACACCATTTCATAAACTTTAAAATGTTTTTAATCGTCGTAATCTGGCTGCGTGTGAATTTTTCCTATTTACAAAAAAACAACGTTAACCTTAAAAGGCCGTCGTTTTACAAGCATAATTGACATTAAAAGTGCAACGCTGAAAGAGCTAAAGGCTATTTATAAAATCGAGTTTGAGAAATATTTCGGTGATTGGAAGAAGCGCTGACATGAGTGCATAATATCGAATGGGCACTATTTTAAAGGCGACAACGTTAATGTAGAAAAATTAATATACATTTTTTTTTAGACGAAAGTTCCCGGAATTTTTTAGAACACACCTCGTCGTAAGAATGTGTTTTAAAGTGGCGGTCTAAGCTCTTATTAAGCCCTTTGTGACTCTAACTTCATTGAGCAAAAAAATATCATCTAGATTTAAGAATTTAAGGTATGAAGTCAAACTTTGATGTGTTGCGAATACAAAAAACCACTGGTATAAATGGCATAAACTGGTACAATTAAGCAAAGGTTGTACGGCAAGAGAGATTAGACCACTTTATTGAGGTGCCCACAAGCTCTTTTGTGTAGAATTCAACTATATAAATTTTTGCTTTCTCGTTTACAGTTTTGCGACTGAATAGCGGAGCACAACGTGGGAAAGACGTGAATCAAAAACCACTATATTTTTACTTTTTATGTCAAATTTATGAGGTGAAAAGAGCCAGCATCGTAAAACCCAAGCCAGATACCGTAATTTACTAGAAAAGTATAGTATACTGTTAACAGTTTATCGTTGATAGACACAGTTTGCTTTACTGCAAATTTTAAAAGGCGCTGCTTTATCAAATCTTCATTTAATAAAACCAAAATCAGTTTTCTAAGCTTGTTATATATCAGCGCCTAGTTCTGCTGTACTAAAAGCCATATGAATGCATATTTTATATGTTACAACATAAATTGCAAGCAGTAAAATAAAGCGCTAAACTTTATCTTTGTGGCCAATAAAGCAGAAATAATTTGTGCAACTAATACGCAAGCCATAACCGTTATAATATATAGATAAACTTTTGCGTTTTACAGCAACCAACAAATTAGCACACACATAGGGTACAGCTAACTTTAGAAGCGACAAATTGCAGATTACACATTGATTTCTTCAACGTGTAAGGCGCCCCAAACGCCAACCCGCACCATTTGCATGCCAAGAATTTTAATAAAAGCGCCAACGAATGGGGCAAATCACATGTGTATGTATGTATGTTTGTAGCTAATAAACGACGACTAACCAGACACAAACATACACACACATCCTTATATAGTATAATGTTATCTATACAAGTGTATAAATTCACAGTTATATAACCAGTATACCGCAAGTATAATATTGCTGTCATAAGCGCACAAGTTTTCCATCTTTCATTTTGGCGCATACATATTGATTTCACACACATCAATGTGTAAATAACGGTGTTTCCTTGTTTGTGTAGACCTTTAAATGCTAATGGCACCGCAAATTTCATTTAACCCCCGACCGCTTGAGAGCTTCAAACGTCAACAATCCGCATAGCAGCTGGCAAAGCGCTCGGCCGTTAGCAGAGTTTCAGTTTGGAGCTGTTAAAAAAAAGTAACGAAAACAGCAACAACGACAACACAGCGCAGACACAATCATTTCGCTTATTCAGCACATCGCACCCCTCTCCCCAACAACTAAAATATAATGTCGGCGCAGTGAAGTCCAGTGGATTTAACTGCCTTTCGATCGCTTGTCCTTTCGCTCCATTCAGTTGCCATAAATTTACTCATTCCGGTATTTATATATACAGGGTGGTTCATATTAAAAATTGTGCATTATTTCTTATAGTTCGGCTGACTTTGCAATGGAGTTTTAGCAGCATTTTCCGAAACAAAAAAAGGTGGGTACGTGAGATCCGTGAGACGGCTGATAACTACATTACCGAAATGAGTTCCTCAGTTCTTGACATAACATTGATTTTTCGGAGTAAAAAGAAAATAAAGAGTTAAATCGATACTTCGAGATGGATCTGTGCATCGAACTGAACAAAAACGGTAAGATCGCAGCTTTAAGTGGATACATGAACCACCCGTTACAAGCATAGTATATGTACATATGTACGCAGTTTACTAAAAGGGCATTTGTTGTTGTTGGGCGTTGCGACAAGCGTTATAAATGGCACTCGGCGTGCAAAGGTGACAAAGGATATCGCAATTTTATGAGTAATCCTGACACTTTTATATCCCAACGCAAACATATGCGGCACGTATGTATATACACAAGTGCGTGTGTGTATTGGTGCGCGTGTATTTGCTTAGGGAGGCAGGCAGGCTGGCGCAGTAAAGTAATAAAATTACACATATAGATTCTGCATTGTTGTGGGCAGATAATATGCTGCGCGTAACACGGGGTAGTTGCCACATACCACACACACACACACACGCCGTATGCATATTTAAGCAACTCAGTCGCTGATAGTGGCGAAAAGCCAGCATTGTACAACTGGGGTACAGGCAAATAACCAGCGACGAGCAGGCGCTCTGGCGGTCGTTCAGCAGCCGGAACGATTGCCGCCAACAAAAGCTATACCGGAAGCGTTGCTAAATGGATTGCATGCATTGTTGTTATTGTTATGGTATTCCGTTATTATTGTTATTGTTACTGTTTGTTATTGTTATTACAGTGTCTGGTCGCCGTTGCCGCAGCCGCTTACCCGACCAACGCGAGCGCTGGTATGTAGTGCACAGAACTTTTGGAAGCATTCAAGTCCAGGTCGATAACTCCAACATCAATTCGCCGCACACACACATACATCTGCGAGTTCAACACTGACAGCACTAACACCGTCCTTTGCATTTGCATTGCCGCTGGCGAGATGAAAATTTCAAGCAAACAATTCTCCGTTGCTAGCGCCGCAGCGCGTTGGAGTTGTTTACGAACCTGCCACACCCACACAAACAACACTAA